GCAAACCTAAGTCTGTGATCTACAAATAATTATTGTCAGCTTACGCTCTTACGCTGTATACATATACATACACATTATACTGTACTGTTTAATATAGTATGTTAAAATTAAATAAATAAATACATAAATAAACAAATAAATATATAAATACAACAAATTCTAACTGTGCACAGACCTTTTATAAATTAAAAATGTTAATTAAATTGCTTCTTTTTTTTGCGATTATTCTGCACAGTATGTTGATAAACATTCTCACTTTTTTTTTTTGATAAAGCGCCCTACGCTATGGTCTTTCAGAAATGGATCCAGTGAGAAAGTAGGTGAGCTGATGCTATGAATAAAGCTAGCATACATTAAAATCCTTTATGGATTACTCCTTGGCTTGTACATTTAGTGAAGAAAATGAGGAGAGAATACCTTGGATGTCAGTTATCTCTCCATTCTCCTTGTAGATACCCGTTTAGAGCGCCATGAGGATGTGGGTGGAATCCCATCAATGACAGCTTTGTTGATTCCTGTCGAACAGATTTTGTATATATTAGCTCTGTGTACGACGAGCAGGAACGAAACACAATTCCGATAAAAATACAAAGGTAGTGGCTTTTGTATTCTGTGTGATGACAGCGCTTCCACAGTGTTTAAAGTTATAGGGCTACCTACGTGCCTCTTCCTGTCATGTCCTCAGGTCGGAGGTGCAATTTTCAAACAATGTTCTTTTTTTAGCCTGTCACTGTGCAAACCTAAGTCTGTGATCTACAAATAATTATTGTCAGGTTTCTTGAACAACTTCTAAAAGGAGACTAATCTAAGGGCAAACAGAGAGAAATCAAAACTGCTTCCTCAAATGTCACAAATTTTTTTCAAAACACCTTTTCATGCCATAATGTCAACAAAAATGGAGGCGATGCAAGCAATGCAAGCTAATATATGAAGGCCAACATTAAATTGCACATTGATTGTGAGAGATAAACATATTTTGTTTCAATTGGTTGCAGTAAACATCCTGTCAGCTGAACAGAGGTTGCTTCATAAATTAATTAAGGCCCTATAAAGAAAATAAAGTGATTTCTGGATTACTACATTGAGTAACTGGCATAAATTATAAAATGGGTATTGGGAGTGAGACATTGAGAATTATTACATACTTTATCATTAATATATATATATATATATATGTTGAGGTGCTACATTTAATTAACCGACACAAAACATAATCCAAACCCAAAACTTTAGGAATAACCTGCTTCAACTATCTAACTCCAGAAGTGTTTCTTATAAAGCATATAGTTATATTTTTCAGATTTCGTCAAACCAGAATATTGCCAGAATATCTTAAAGATGCACCGATATTATCAGCATTTAAATTTTATACTATTTTTTGTGTACTTGTATTTACTGTTTTATATCTAAATAAATTAAAAATGAAACACTAGAAACTAAAATCAATAGTTTTAAATGTTACAAGTGAGTCACATTATGTCATTTTTTAAAACTGGATTTTTATTCTGATACATGCCAAACAAATACATTTAACAGTGTTATTAAAATATTAGTCATTACATTAGCACATACATAATCTTGAAAACTAAGTGAGTGTTAGATGACGGGAAGGGTAATCTAAAGCATATACAATATTGTCCAATGTGATTTTTAAAAATAAATAATTAAAAACAATTAAAAAAATAAACCAATAAGTAAATACATAAAAAAACAATGAAATCACCAATATGGTACCAATACATAGTGCATCTCAACTTAACCTGCTTATGGCTATCAGGTAAATCCACTGATGCTAATATAATTTGAATATGACCACATCATTTTGATTAATATAGGAATATTCTTGTGCAATCAATGTCACAAGAGAGGGAAAAAATTATTTCGACCACATTCAATTCAAAAACTCCATTTAACTTTACAAACCTAAATGTAGTGTTTTAAAGCAAATGAATAAAGAAAAAACGTCGACAAAACACTCTAGAGCAGGGGTGCCGCCTAGCATCTGTGGTCATGAGGTAATTTGAAAGTCTGGTACTGGCCCACCTGAAGGACATCACTGGACCCTTACTGGACCCCCTGCAGTTTGCTTGTCAAGCAAACAGGTCTGTGGATGATGCAGTCAACATGGGACTGCATTATATCCTACAACATCTAGACAAACCAGGGACTTCTGTGAGGATCCTGTTTGTAGACTTCAGCTCGGCCTTCAACACTATCATCCCAAACCTCCTCCTGTCCAAACTAACCCAGCTCTCTGTTCCTAGCTTTATCTGTCAATACCTGTACACCAATGACTGCACCTCTACTGACCCCTCTGTCAAGCTCTTGAAGTTTGCAGACGACACCACACTTATTGGCCTCATCCAGGACGATGATGAGTCTGCATATAGAAGCAAGGTTGAGCAACTGGCTGTTTGGTGCAGTCTTAACTACCTGGGGCTGAACACACTCAAAACAGTGAAGATGATTGTGGACTTCAGGAGAAACCCCCTGCACTCCCACCACTCACCATCATGAACAGCACTGTGGCTGCAGTAGAGTCATTCAAGTTCCTGGTCACCACCATCTCTCAGGACCTGAAGTGGGGCAATCACAGTGACTGTTAAAAAGGCCCAACAGAGATTGTACTTCCTTCAACAACCGAAGCCACAGGAGTTGCTGAAACAGTTCTACTCAGCCGTCATTGAGTATGTCCTGTGCACTTCAATAACTGTCTGGTTTGGCTCAGCTACAAAATCAGACATTAGAAGACTACAGAGGACGGCTTTGATTGTTGAAAGGATTATTGGTGCTCCCCTGCCCAATTTTCAAGAACTGTATATATCCAGAGTGAGGAAATGGGCTCAGAAAATAACTCTGGATCCCTCACATCCAAGCCATCTCCTTTTTGAACTTTTACCGTCTGGCCGGCGCTACAGAGCATCGAACACCAGGACAGCCAAACGCAAGAAAAGTTTCTTCCCCCAGGCAATCTACCTCATGAACAGTTAAATGTTCTCCCCTACTGTTCAATAAAAATATGTGCAATATCATTTTTATTCACCTAATACTACCAAACAAACAAACAAAATGGCGTTTTAAAATGAAAACGATCCTCGTCTACACTTACGTTTCAGAAACGATCTCCGTCCACACCACACAACCGAAAATGCATGTCACATAAACATTCATGTGGGGGAAGTCGTGGCCTAATGGTTAGAGAGTCGGACTCGAGTCTCGTACCGGCAGGGATTGTAAGTGGGGGGAGTGAATGTACAGTGCTCTCTCCCACCTTTAATACCACGACTGAGGTGCCCTTGAGCAAGGCACCGAACCCCCAACTGCTCCCTGGGTGCCGCAGCAAAAAAATGGCTGCTCCCTGCTCCTGGTGTGTGTGTGCACTTTGTATGGGATAAATGCAGAGCACTAATTCCAAGTATGGGTCACCATACTTGGCCACATGTTATGCCACTTCATGCAGGTACAACAATGAGCATGATGTTATTATTTACACAGTCATCAAGGATACGCAGAGCGAATGTGGGCAGCCACGCCATCATTTTCAAAAGTCTCTGTTTTGGTCCATTTACACTGAAACGCAAACCCAGAGTTTTCAAACTAAAACGGGTCTGCAGTGTTTTCGAAAGTCTCCATTTTCGAGGGTTGAAAACGCTGGAGTAATGTAAACGACAGGCGTAACCGTAGCAAAAGTTATAAAGTTTTAAAATGAAAATGCACTAATGTAAACGTAGCCTAAATCTGCTTTTTTATATTTAATATTTGTCTCATTCAACACAATTAATTAATTTCTCAGCCCAAACTGATGTGCAGTTCATTTGCAATGAATTGGACTAATCGCCACATGTTATTAATTAGATTAAAAATTGTGATTACTTGAAATTTTTTTAAGATGGCCCCTACCTATCCAAATTGATGTTTCTTAGCCAGAATACGTTGCAATAAGGACCACAAGTCAATTACTGGGTTAGCTGTGGTTTTAAAGTGTCATATTCTGACATCTGGATGGTTAGTACAAAGAAGAAGAAAATCTTTTTCAAGAAAATCTAAGTTTTCACAGGTTAATGGGGCTCTAGTTTAATAACTGTGATGTTTCAGCTCTGTAAATTATTAAGGAAGTAGATAAGAGAGAGAAAGTGCTGCCCAGAAAATGAGTAAGGACTGGATTTTTTTACACTCTGTCTCTGTCTGGAGGAAGAGCAGCGGCGATTCATCTGTCTCGTCAAACATACGGCACCGGCTCCTCAATTACCAGCGACCTCAGCTGTTACCAGCACATGCAAAGCACAAAGAACACGCAGTTAATTTCACCAAGCATTAAAAGGCTGAGTGAAAGAGCACATGTGTGCCAAGTAACGGAATGGCAATTAATGGAGCTTCAAAGTTGGCTATGATCGCTGGCAGGCAGCTGTGTTTTTTTTAAAGGCGGTGTCACTGATTCACTGAGGTCTCTATGCCTGTCTTCCTGTCTCTCTGTCTCCCGCTGGCACACCTGTCGGGACGTCTCAGAATTTAATGAACAGTGAAGAGATAGCGGTTGTTTGTTTCTTACTGGTAAATGGCTGATCAAACTGAGAGGCGTTTAGGAAACCTGTGTTTTTAGTTGTTGTTTGCGGTTGCATTCATGATTGATTGACATCGCTGTAGTTGTTACTTAAATTTTTTTGACGTCATGTGGATTAAACTTCAAACTCCAGTCTCACTGATTGATGCATATTATATAAATAAATTTGTTGTTGAAGTGTATTCTTTTATTTCTAAATTCTGTTTCATCATCATTCAGAATATGCCATCCATCTCATGTATTTTAAATTACTTAAAAAAGGAACATCATTCTGAGTTTTTTTTTTATACTAATGGACATCAGTGTCTTGAATTTTTTATTTCTTTTTTTTATGAATCCCATTATGGGGTATGATTGATCTGTCTTATGTAGTCTGGTTGCAAATTGTTCCAGGAAACATGATTTAACATTTTCCCATCTCTCTCCTCTTGATTTGCAGGAGCATCCAGCTAAACCCCATTTGTTTTCAGAACCACCTTCGACAAGCCATGGTGTATCGACTTCTGGGAAACCCCTGTGAGGCAGCGAGGTAAAATTGGCATTAATGGAGGGCTCAGAAAGGGTGCTTTCTCCGAAATGAAGACAGATTCAGTAGGAGAAAAGCTCCCAGTCATTTAGACAAACCCCGCAAACACATGTCTGCCCATTGGTTTGTTACATCTCCCTCTGTTCTGTCGGCCTGTGCTGGAAAAATATGTTCTCTGCGATACATAAATACTGGCGGTTCAATGGGGTACACATGGAAGAAGACAATTAGAGCTACGGTTACATCCACTCCCACCACTGCTGACTGACACCTTCCCCTGTAGCCTCCACACACTAATGTTCCATATGTGTTTTAATGATACAGTTACCAAATGCCTCTGTTCCCACCATTGGTCTTTTACAGATGACAGCTACCATTAATTATTGGACGGTGGAGGAATAAATAGTTTAGTGGCGTCGGTTACGGCATGGCCATGGCCAACTGGTGGCTGTGGGGGCCATTTATCGTGAGAAAGTCATATTCTGTTTGATCATTATCAAGCCACATTAACCCAATTGAAATAGATTAGAGAAAGAAGCGGGTACTTTGGTCTCTTTCTCACTCACTTGTTCTCGCTTTCCACCCCCTCTCACATTTGAGTTTCTGCAAGCAGAAATAGATAAACTCCGCAACCCTGCCTACAAATTTAGTGCCACTGTCCCAGTGGGGGAATAGAGATGTTTTCTGGGAACACTGCAGAAGTGCATTTATGTGTATGAAGTTGGTACGTCACACTGGCACTACTTGATTCAAGCTCTTTATGCTCTTTCTTTGCACTAGGTGTGTATTAGGTCTGGCTAGATTTGCTTACAATTGTGCAGGACCATGGGAGTCATTCATTAAAGGGTTAGTTCACCCAAAAATGAAAATTACCCCATTATTTACTTACCCTCAAGCCATCCTAGCTATATATGACTTTCTTCTTTCAGACGAATACAACTGGAGTTATATTAAAAAAACATCCTGGCTCTTCCAAGCTTTATAATGGGAGTCGATGGTAGCCCAAAATTTGGAAGTCCCAAAAATGTAACCAATCCATTATAAAAGAAGTCCAGACGGCTCCGAGGGGCTAATAAAGGCCGAAGTGATGCGTTTGTGAAAGAAAAATATCCATATTTACAGCTTTATAAACCTTAATCTCTAACTTCCGCTAACTGTCGTACGTGCGTTCACGAGAGAGTGGTGTCCAGCGGATGACGTAGGCGTAACGTAAACTCCGGTGAGAATATGCTAGTCTCACGAGAGACAAGTTATGTTTACAGCAAAGGAAAACCAGTGTCCTCTTGGCTTATATTGAAATCCTCCGACATTTTACTTTACAAATCCTCGTTTTGTACTACTAATTCGTGACCGGTGTTTTGTTTTGCTCTCTCCTCTGTGCTTCCGCGTTCGTCACCGCATTTGCCTACCAGCTACGTCATCCCCTGGACGCCACTCTCTCGTGAATGCGTGTATGACAGTTAGCGGAAGCAAGAGATTAAAGTTGTAAATATGGATATATTTCTTACACAAACACATTGCATCGCTTCAGAAGGCCTTTATTGACATTGTTGATGGGCAGCTTAATATTTTTAAACCACCGTTATTTGTTTCCTAATATTTTATGATGAATAGAACGTTCAAAGTAACAATGTGAAACTCTATCTATCTATCTATCCTTTGCAGAAAAACAGCCCCATGCTTCACAGTAGGTATGGTGTTCTTTGGATGCAACTCAGCATTCTTTCTCCTCCAAACACGTCAAGTTGAGTTTTTACCAAAAAGTTCTATTTTGGTTTCATCTGACCATATGACATTCTCCCAATCCTCTTCTGGATCATCCAAATGCTCTCTAGCAAACTTCAGACGGGCCTGGACATGCACTGGCTTAAGCAGGGGGACATGTCTGGCACTGCAGAATTTGAGTCCCTGGCGGTGCAGTGTCTTACTGATGGTAGCCTTTGTTACTTTGGTCCCAGCTCTCTGCAGGTCATTCACTAGGTCCCCCGGTGTGGTTCTGGGTTTTTTCTCATAGTTCTTGTGATCATTTTGACCCCACGGGGTGAGATCTTGCGTGGAGCCCCAGATCGAGGGAGATTATCAGTGGTCTTGTATGTCTTCCATTTTCTAATAATTGCTCCCACAGTTGATTTCTTCACACCACGCTGCTTACCTATTGCAGATTCAGTCTTCCCAGCCTGGTGCAGGTCTACAGTTTTGTTTCTGGTGTCCTTTGACTCTTTGGTCTTTGCCATGATGGAGTTTGGCGTGTGACTGTTTGAGGTTGTGGACAGGTGTCTTTTATACTGATAACGAGTTCAAACAGATGCCATTAATACAGGTAACAAGTGGAGGGCAGAGGAGCCTCTTAAAGAAGAAGTTACAGGTCTGTGAGAGCCAGAAATCTTGCTTGTTTGTAGGTGACCAAATACTTATTTTACAGAGGAATTTACCAATTAATTCTTTAAAAATCCTACAATGTGATTTTCTGGATTTTTTTTCTCATTTTGTCTCCCATAGTCGAGGTATACCTATGATTAAAATTACAGGCCTCTCTCATCTTTTTAAGTGGGAGAACTTGCACAATTGGTGGCTGACTAAATACTTTTTTGCCCCACTGTATATATACACAGAATTCCAATCTTTCTACATTCCCATCAAATGAATCTCTGCTGACAATGCTCAGTACAGTCTACTCCTGAAACTCCATGCTATATTAAAGCAAAGTCCGAGTGCATTTTGTCAGAGCACAATGCATGGTTGTGCATTTCAAAGAAGCGAGCACAGCCATTGAAGCTGGCGCCACTCTTTAACCTAATCACATCCTCCCTCCAGCAAATGCTGCTCAGCCATTTGAGCTCTTTAAGAGGAAAATGCATCTATGTTTTGAAGTTTACATGCCAGTAAATTTCACAGAAGCAATAGCTCTCCAGCACAAAGAAACCAAATTATTCTCCACATTTTCATCATTGTGCCATTTCCTTCCTCTTTCTGGTAATCATGGCTGTATTAGATCAAAAGTGTGCTTCTACTAAATACTGAGCAAAGGGTCTGAATACTTAGGACCATGTGATATTTCAGTTTTTCTTTTTTAATAAATCTGCAAAAATGTCAACAATTCTGTGTTTTTCTGTCAATATGGGGTGCTGTGTGTACATTAATGAGGAAAAAAATGAACTTAAATGATTTTAGCAAATGGCTGCAATATAACAAAGAGTGAAAAATTTAAGGGGGTCTGAATACTTTCCGTACCCACTGTATATCCATCCATGACTCCTTTATTGAGACGTTGTTTCCTTTGTGAAAGGAAAAGCTGTGGCATTTCTCTTTTTTTATGCAGTATCAAAGTCAGATGTCAATGCACACCATAAGAAAACATAAAAAAAACCAGTAACAGCTTCTCCAGGAAATATGTGCATATAGATTCATGCGTTTAGCAGCACAGATTCACTTCCCCTCGCAATCTTAACTGAAGGAAGAGTGAGTGACACATCAAGATATTGAACTCGAAAACGGAAATTATTCTAGAAGGCAATATCGCTCCGTTTGTGCTGGAGACAAGCTTTCTCAATGCAGAAATAAAATTAACAGTGTAACCTTTGCTCTTGATGGATCCTGGCAGAATTTGCTTTAGGAAAGTGGTCTCCATTGCTCACAGCAAGAGCCAGTACAACAGTAAACACTCCTAAATGCGCCGTCAGCATTTAGCACAGGAAACTAAAAATTAACCTTATGGCTCATTTCCAGAAGTCAGGTTTGTTTTTCAGTTGTTTTTTATTATTCTATTTGTGCACAATCTGACTGCACTCAAGCGCCTTTCAGAAAATGAACTCTATCAAAAAAAAAAAAAACATAACTTGTTTATTTTTCTACTAACAATGTCCAACTGTGGACATAAAAGCATCATATAAGAAATTTGATCATATCTAAAATTATATTTTGATGTAATAGACACACACACTCTCTCTCTCTCGCTATATATATATATATATATATATAATTTTTCTATAAATTTTTGTATACATAAATATTGAAATTATTTAAGTCACTATTTGTTTATATGTTGTAAATCAATATTCTCATTTCTTTTACATTTAATTCATAAAATTGTCATATTTTTATATATTTGATATCTCAGTCTGGGACAAGGATACAAAAAAATCTATACATTTAAATAGTAGGAAAAAAAAAAAAGCATGATACAAATTTCCGAGAAGTGTGACCTCCATATAACAAACCAACGTGATCTCATGATAATTCGTATGTATTTTACGTAAAATGTGGTTCTATAAAACGTACAATACTTACGTATTTATACCTACGTATAAACATGAGACCAGGCTGAACAAACAGAAAAAAAAATACTGTAAAAAAATGTTCAGAGCTGGTTAAAGACCCTCTTTGGTTTCTCTGAAATATCTCTGAAGTTGCAAAATCATAAATATATATTAAATGTAAAATGTATTTTTAAATTAAATTTGTGAATAAAGTCTGTTGTTCAGTGAGAAAAAAAAAACCGTTTGTGAGGATTTTAACGACCTGCTGTGGTCTTGAGGTCATGTCCAGATCAGAGCTACTTTGTGATGGATTTGACATTGAGTATGTTTTGTGTCAATAGTGCCCTATCTAGTGATTTGAATATTACAGGTTGCCACTTTAAAAGACTGAATAAGAATGTTTATTCAAGCACTCTGGTTAGCCAAGTTGCCCTTTCTCCATGAAAAGTGCATTTGCAGGTGTATCTTTGGACAGCCAAATAGTCCTTTTTGGCTATTATGAGGCCAGATGCGTGCCGTCAGAGAAGCCGCTGACAGAGCCATCAGTCTTGAAGTGTGCGTGGAGAAAGAAGCTCAGTGAGCTAACGTTCTCTGCCAGCCCCATTTACAGCAATGACATATTCATCTCTGAATTAAAGCGATGCCGCTTATTGCTCTCAAACAAGGTCAACTGTGGCAGCCCTTTAATCAATACTCACAGTTGTGTGAGACACTTCAGTGTTTAATCACAATAACGTTACACACACA